CCTCACCACCCCCCGACACCCCTCCCCACCCACCGCTGCACCCACCCCCACAAGGCAGCGACCATCGCACCAGCTGAGCACGGCGGGCTTGGCGGCCGGGCCCGGGCCGGCGCGGCCCACCCCCGCGGGGGGGACCCGGCCCGGAGATGCGTGTGGCGTCCAGAGCAGAGGGCGGTGCCGGAGGCATGTATTGAGGCACCCATAGGGCAGTGGCTCGAATAGAACGCCCAGGACACGGACGGCAACCCAGGACAACAACGCGCGCCAGCTCGGCCGGCCGCAGTGCCGACGGTCCACTGAAAACTAAACAAATAAGCGGTTCACCGCTCTTCCTTAAACGCAATACTTCACCTTAAAGCGAAATCACAACAAAAATACGCTTTATAACCCCTCTTGAGGCAGGGATAGGATAGCAAATCATTAAACGTCTGTCTTTGGATTTTTCAGTGGATTACTCTCAAATTCGCGTCTGAAATAAAAAGCTCGTTTTTGTGTTTGACGCAGTTTTGCAGTTTCGGGATCAAAAGGGGTAGCAGCAGTATGGGCACACGTTTTCCAGTGTACTTCCTCAAAATTTATCTGCATGATGTGAATAATTACTTCTTGGTGTTTGTTACTTCTTTGTGCGACATTTGGTGTTGTATGCATCATAATTAGTACTGATTTGTTGTTTTTTGTTGTTGATTTTTGTTTGTTTCTCTTTGAGTGTCTTATGAATGAATGCTTGCAGTAAATTTTAGGTGAGGGTGTTATTGACCATCCACACATGTTTTTAGGGAAAAGATTACATTTCGATAGAAACGCGCCCTCTTTTCTACTCGAAACCCATACCACGTCTGCACCACGCGGCACTTTAATGCTATTCATAGTCACCTTCATCTGCATCTTTTTATTTTCCTTGTTTTACTCCTTCCCGAAATGCAAAATGCAGATTTTAATATCGTTTCACTTTATCATCACGAAAACGTTTTACTTGAGCGCAGTTTTCCCGGTAGCATTCGGTTTGCTCGCGGCGGTGCGCTTCGTCTTGCCCCCGTAGAGCGCCCCGTGTGGGTAGGCAACCCGGCCGCGGGGATGCCTGGCGGGACAGCATCGACAAAACATCAGGCGCGCAGCACCGCCGCGGGCGGACAGACTTATTTCCATTTCAATGAGAGATCCAAATAAAAAATCTTCCGATGTAACGTCGTCTAACTAACTTTACCCTCAAAGAAAACAAATGTCGGTCCTCCCTCTCTTTGTTTGTCGCCCCCGGCTCCGTCCGGCGCGCCCCGCCCCGTCTCACCCCCGTCTCTCGCCTTGGGTTGCAGGTGCGGCCGCCAAGCGGTACAACTGCACGTCCTGCCCGTACCAGACGGACCGGCGGGACCTGTACACGCGGCACGAGGCGATCCACCTGGCCGAGAAGCCGTTCCACTGCTACGCGTGTCAGAAACAGTTCAACCGCGCGGACCACGTCAAGAAGCACTTCCTGCGCATGCACCGCGACCAGCCGTACGACCTGAACCGCATCCGGCGCCACGCCAGCCGCGGCGGCCACGCCGCTCACGCCGCGTCCAAACCGCCCAGCCCGGCGGTCACCACCTCCGCCACCGCGACCGTGACCACGGCCACGCCCACCGGCAATGGCAGCGCCACCATGGCCTTCTACACCAAGTTCGGCAGCGCGGCGGCCGGGACACAGACGCTCGCCGACTCGCTCGCCGACGAGGACGTGAACGGCGCGGCCACCACCTCGCAGCAGGACGAACAGGAACTGCAGCAGGAGCTGCAGCTGCAGCAGCTGGAGCAGGAGCAGCTCGAACTGGAGCAGCAGCAGCTGCAGCAGCACGAGCTGCAACTGCAACAGCAAGAGCTGCAACAGCTGCAGCAACAGCAAATTATCCTCCAGACGCAGGTAAGCAGGCCGTAAGGGAGGAGGAGAGCGAGTGCAAAGCGGAGGAGGAGGAGAAGGAGGAGAAGGATAAGGAGGAGGAGACACCTGGAGGTTGCGCCGAGGACGACGATGATCAGCTCCAAGCCGCTCGACGGAATGTCCCTATCGCTATCTCACGCTCGCATGCCATGCTCCCAACAGCCGCTGCACCCCCAGCAGGCCCTCAACGTCCCCAACATGGCCAACTATGCGACGAGTGCCAGCAGACTGCTCGCGACCTCTAACGGCCACGTGCTCAAAACTGCCCCAATGATGCAGCAGAGCGTGGTTCAGCTGCAGATGCCCTCCGTCATCACAGATTCGTCCTCCAAGGTAGTGGCTGGTGGTGGTGGTGGTGGAGTTGGTGGCGGTGTTGGTGGCTTAGGCGGTGGAGTTCGCGAGAGTGGTGGCGGCGGTGGCGGCAGCGTGGTGGTGCCTGAGGTTGTGGTTCAGGTCGGCGCTGGCGGCGTGGTCCAAGCGGACGACGCGCACGACGCGCACGAGGTGCCCCGCACCAAGGGCGGGCGCGAGAAGCGCTACCCGTGCCCGTACTGCACGTGGTCCGGCGTCGACAACTGGTGCCTCAAGCGCCACCTCAACACCCACCTCAAGCCCTTCGTGTGCGCGCTGTGCGACTATAAGGCGGCGCGCACGGAACGCCTGCAGACGCACGTCCTCAAGGTGCACAACAAGCGCAGCTGCATCCGCTGCACGTTCATGGCGGACGACCAGAACCAGCTCAACGTCCACCTGCAGGAGCACCAGTGAGTAGCCGTAGTCCTGATCCCCTATCCCCGCCCTCTTCCCTCTCCCTATCCTTGTACCCCATCACCCCCACACATTTCTGCGTATGCGCAGGCTTGTGTTCGCGCCGAGCCCTGGTGAGGAGACCCTTGTAATTGGCTGGATGATCGCACAAGTGCATGTTGCCTGCTCTACTGCTGCCTGCGCGGTGGTGGTCGTTGGTAGTTGGTTGGTGTGGTCATCTTCCGTGGTGGGTGTTAGAGAGGCCCGTGGTACCTGCGCGGTCTCGACGTTGTCGGTTACACGGTTAGACTTCAGTTATGATCGATCCGGTAGGAAAGGCTTGTTGTTGCTGTAGTCTTAGCGGCTCGGTTAAATATGCTGCATCTTCATACGTTATTTTCATCATCATTATCATCATCATCATAAAGCTCTTTTTGTAATCGAAATATTTGTGTTGTTTTCTTTTGCCGTCCTATAGCGGACATTTTTATTTATTTCTCGAAGTTAAATATTTATTATTTGTTACGAGGATGTTCCCTCCGTTTTAATTTAGTTCATTTTGTTGTGTTAAATATTGTGTTTCTAGTCAAGTATGTATCAATACTAATCATTGGGACGCGTTGTCGTGTCCCATTCTGGCATCATAGATGCACAGTTCAAAAAGTTGAAAGAAATGTAACATTACTGAGTGGCTGCTAAGTCACACACCTCGTATGATCTCTGGGCGCGGTTCTTTTTTCACGATACTGTTGTTTTTCAGTGGAAGTCCATCATCAATTTACGGATGCCAAACGTCCTTAGAAAAAAGACTGCTGTAATATTGTGTTTCTAAGGCAACGTATTTTGCTATTAATGTAAGATGTGTTGATGCTATTAGCTCTCTACTTATGGATCTCATCCTGCCATTGACGCATTAAAACGTGATAGAAAGATATTAATTGACTTGGTATAGTGTAATTTCATTGGTTGTATGTGCCACTTACGGCGATCATATGTCACTAAATTATTCAATAAATACGTAGGTAATAAATGTACTAATGTTAACAAACTTCTTCCGTCAGAACTACTGTCTATGTCTTTGTGTTCACATCAATATTTATTATCTATGTTTGTATTGTCTTAATGTCGAAATCATATTGAATTTCTTCCATGTTTTTTTATAATGTAGTGTATTTCGGTGTAATCTGTCATTCATTTTTATTTTTGTACATGAGATTAGCTGTTTGATTATTCTACGAGGGCTTCAGAAGTCTTCTTGACTCTTAAATTTAATTCCTAAATTTAAGTAGTTTCATTGTCGGATATCTAGAGCGAAATGCATCTTTTTTACGATTCATTAAAAGTGGCGTGCTTTGTTATCCATGTACATTGTGTTTCACCCCATTTCCATATTCTCGTTCACTCTCCTAATGCTCTAGACAGTAGCCTTGGTGCATGTGCTTCACCAACCATTTTACGACAATAAGTTGGCAAGAAACAGTTTTGTGGCTCGAAGGCTCGCGATGACATCGCCTGACAATCTAACGAAACTGCTTCACAAAACAAAATCTGCAATATTACACATTTGACAAGGCATATAGCACCTTCACAAACCGCAACACAAAAACATCCAATTTACAGAACATCCGCTCCGCTATCTGCTTTTTGAAAAAAGCTAAATATATTTGTTTTCAAAATTTCCTAACGCTAGTTCATATTTAAATGTTCCATAAACCGTATTGTTTTGAG